CCAGTCAAACTAAAGCTGTTAACAATCTTAATCTCTTCACCATCTATCATGATGCTGACAATTGGCCCAGTGGTAAGAACCTTTGTTTTCTTGATATTGAGCTTCAATCCATATTGAAAGCACAGTCCTTGACCTTCTGCAACAAGCGCTTCAGATCCTTCTCAATTTCAGCAAGCAGGATTGTGTCATGTTATTGCATATATATTTTTTTTCTTTTCCACTTTGAAAATGTTAAATAGTTTTGTATATAAAATTTATGATTTTCCCAACTATTAATTATTGCAGAATTTTACTTTTGTTGTAAAAAGTATACTTATATACTTCAACATATAAAGTATATGAGATTTCCCATTCCAAGTTACATGTAGAATAGTGTAGATTGTGTATTAGTTATTAGATGTTATTAGGTAATCCAAATGAAATCCTTTATTGTTATGCTCGTAACCAGAGTGACCCCTTGAGTGTGTACCGTGCAAGGACTTCAGAGGGGATACTGAAGTGAACATTTTTCAACTTCATTATTCAAAGGTGGAGATAAAAAAACTGAAGTCAAGCGGCAGATTTTGGCTGAGTATCTCTTTGGAAACCACACTTTAGGACTCTTATGACATTAGACTAATCAATGCTTAGAATGCATTTGGATCTAGTATGACTTTAAAGAAGTGTCCTGGCCACAGATGGTGGAAACCATACAACTTAAGTTATCATATTATGCGTTTTATTTCTTGTTGGTTAATTTTTTTATTATTAAATTTTATTAGTTTTAATGAACATTTACAGGGATTTTGGGTTTTCATACTTGTTGGTTAATTTGTGCTCATTTTTATTTATGTACAATCTGTCTTCAGCTTGTTTCTAATTGCTATTCTTTCTATTTACCACTAGAGGGCGGTGCCTATACACACAGACAACTTGAGCCTAAACCTTAACAAACTTGGTTCAGCTTCTGATTTTTTCCTCTTAGAAATCACTACAGCACAGTTTTTTGCCAATACTTCCTCCTTTAAGGATTTCCCATAACAGATAGTTGAAATTGAGTGTTGGTGGGGAAAAAAAAAATCCAGGCCATGAAGTGGCTTGTAATTTAGACTGTCATCCATTGTGTTAGCTCTGCTTTAATGGTTTGTGCTGTGCATGCTTTTTGTCTGATGAGAATGATGATTTCAGGTCTGTACTAGACGGCGTTTGTTTTTCTCAGACCCTTAGTTTGGACTCCAAGTTACAAATAAAAAATTGACTGGTTAATAACAAGCACTGGTGAAACCACTTGACGTCCAACTAGAACCTTGCCACAGTGATGTGTTTTCTGCCTCCTCCTCAGAGTAATTGCCTACTCTTGGTTATTTCATTATTGGTTTTAAGAGTTTTATCTCTCTCTCTCTCTCAAACACACACACACACACACACACACACTCTCTCTCTCTCTCTCGCCTCCCTGATTGGTATGCATATATTAAAACAACATACTATTTCCTTTGAGTTTGAACTGATTTTAAAAAGTCTTCTGGGAGTTGTTCTCTGGTTCAGCATTCTGTTGTTTCACCACATTGTGACCTTTGACTATGGTTCAACCACATTCACGGATGAATCCTCTTTCACCGTGTGAATAATTTACCACTTATGCACCCATTGTTCTGTCCACTAAATTGAATGCTTGGGTGGTTGCTAGGTTTTTTCTGTTATGAATATTGTTGCTGGGAACACTCTTTGTATATGTCTCCTGGGACATATCTGAAAATGTTTCCTTTTGGGATTTTTTTAAAAATTGAAGTCAAGTGAATATTTAACCTTGTAAGATAATATAAAGTTATTTCCCAAGTGATTTCTCCCTATTACACTCTTCCTTTGTTATTTTGTGCCATTCAGATGATTCTAACTCATAGCAACCCTACAGCACAGAGACTCACTAGAGGAAGCAGTCTTTCAGCTGCCACAGTAACTCTTAGAATATAAAGTCCATTTTAATTAAAGTCCATTTTTAATTAAATTATGATAATTTTCCCAGATTGAAGACTCCTAGGACTTTGGGTTTGGAATGGAAATGCGATATATCACCTTCCACTCCCCCACCTCACCCTCTGCCAAATTCCCTTGTGTACCTGTCTGCCTTCCAGTGCCTGGCCTTTGCTTTATTACCTCGGTGAGGGAGATGGCTGCTGTGGGACCAACTCACCTGTTCTGATTCAGAGGGGGAGGTCTATACCTTTGCAGTTTTAAACATGTCATAGTTTGGTCCCTCAAAACTCATGATACCACTTCCACATAGATAGCCTTTCAGGTAGCTGATGATAATTGCTTCCTCACTATATGCTGCCATCCATTCACTCAAGGGCTGGTTATTGAATGGCTACCCAGTGGGTCTGTGCTGGGTGCAAGAGGAACAGCTGAGAATAACTCTGATTGTCTTCTAGATGCTCACAGTTAAGTGTCTGAGGCCAGTGGCCGAGGGCTGAGATGCACAGGAGGAGGATGTTTTAGGGCATAGAGGTGCACTTGGAGTCTCATCTGGGAGGGTGAGAGAAGGGGAGGTGACAAGAGCAGCAGAACTGCCATGAAGTCACAGTCAAAACAAAGGCTCTCTGGTGATTCTCAGCAGAGCTGGGGCCTGGGACTTTTCAGAGCTAAGGAGGAAGTACTAGATACACCTTCATCTTCCTGTCATTGGATAGAGAGTGCCATTCTCAGGGGCAGGGTGTGTCTGTGAAGCTTTCTTAAGTGGGAGAATTCCTTGAGAGAAACTTGACTGGAGCTGTGAGCCACCAGCACCCCACTTGACGCAGACAACATCCTGAAGGGGCTCTGGGCTGCTTATCTTGGTATGCACATATGCAGAGATAAACAGACCCCATATTAGAATTTAAGGAGTCCATTATTTGAACAATTTGTTCCAAGTGTAATGAAAGCAGAGATAACATCCAAGTCATGGTGAGCTTCTTAGAGGAAGGGGATAGTTTACTGGACATGCAGCATTGGTAGGAATGTTCCAAGAAATCAAAGGTGTTGCAAAAGAACTGTATGCGCAGTACCTGTGAGAATCTTTAAAACCAAAACACTGGCACCTAGTTTTTCCTGACTGGTAGTAACTCCATAGAACAGGATAAAACTGCCCCGTAGGGTTCCCAGTTTATAACTCTTTATTAGAAACAGACTGCTATCGGGGGAGAGGGGTGGGCAGGGAGAAAAATGCAACAATGAATGAACGGAAATCCAAAGTCTCTGTAAATGTTTATTAAAATTAGTAATAAAAAAGAAAGGGAAAAAACCCAACAAAAACCGAAACATTGGAATAGGTGAAAAGTCAACCAGTGTATGGTGAGACAGTGTAGTGATTAGAATCAGCAGGAAAATATTCTGCCCCTAGGACTGGAGGAGCCAGAAGAGAGGGAATGTTGGTGGAAATCAAAATGCAAGGCGCCAAGGAAACAGAACCATGTTGGAAGCTGTCTGAGAGGAGCTCATGGTGGATGGTGCTGGGAGGCAAGAACTGGGACTAAGGAAAGAGGCTGTACTATAGGAGCTGAAACCAGAGAGGAAATCAAGCACTGGTTTAGAAATCCCCTAAACAAAATGAGAAGGAGAGATAGCCCAGCTTCTCCCTTCCCCCCAACTGCCACCCTCCTGTTAGTTCCTCTCACTGACTGAGTCTAGCCCAGTGGTAAGAAAGCCTGAGAAATGTAGTTTGCAGGGCTCAGCTTTCCTTAAATGAGGGACTGGATAAAGGAAAGCCAGGGCATAATAATGAGGACAAACAAGTCATGGAGAAGAGGGCTTTCTTTTCTTAGATTTGGGGGACTAAGAGTATAAGATCCTGGGACTTCAGTGGAATATGCTGTAAAGACTCTGGATTGGAATCGGGAGAGCTGAGATCCAATCCCTCTTCTTCTGTGCTCTTACTAAATGTCATTTAGCTTTCTCATCTAAGATTTCATTTTAAATTAAAAAAAATTACTTTAAAAATTATATACTGGCTTTCTAAGAACATTCATAAAGTCCATATACATTATTTTTCACACCAGATCTTTCCATTTTCCTTTATCCACCTCCTCCTCCACTCATCAAGTTGTGTGACCCTGTGATTAAGCCCCCTGCCCTTGGATCCTCATACGTGTTCTACAACTATAGTCTTATACAATATTTGTCTTTATGAGACTGAGTTCACTTAGCATAATTCTCTCCAGTTCCTCCCATGTTAAGTAGTAATTTACAAAATCATTGCTGTGTGCTGCTTAGTATGCCATTGAGTATACTATGTATACATTGAATGTACTATAATTTCTCAGTCGATTCCATTGTGGTTGGGCATTAGAGCTCTTTCCATGTTCTTGATGTAGTAAATAAAGCTGCTATAAGCCTTGGTGTACAAAAAAAAAAAGAAATGGACTGCTGAAGTTAGCAGCTTAGGGCTTAACCATGAAAAGCCTTTGTTGTTATGAACTGTTGAAACAGAACCAACTCATGGCACGTTTTCAGAATGTAAATTGCATCTGAGAGGATTGCTCATCTTTCTCCCAGTGAGCAGCTGGGGGATTTGAACTGCCTATCTTTGGGGGTTGATAGCACGACAGCGTCTGCTGATATTTGAACATGGGAGGGAGGAGCAAGGAGATAGCCAGGTTTCTGGCTTGGACCCCTCAGTGACTGTTGTATCATTTATTGGGGTGGGGGATCTGGGAGGAGTAGGAGGAAGAGTTTATTTGGGGGACATGGCAATCTACTCTGAGGTTGTGGCTGGAGAGAGAAGAGAAAATAGAAGAGTGTGGAATGAATGGTAGGAGTGACCAGCCCAGTGGCCATTTTTAGCCCTAGAGCCTGGTGAGGAATTCGTGTCAGACCCTCCCCTCTCTGTAAACACAGATGCCTCCACTCTTTTCTTACCCTTCATTGCCTGTGGTTCGTTTTTTGCAGTGTGCATGCATCTGGGGGAAGTTCTGGACTAGGCGAATTCCTGCAACATCCCAGAGGCCTCGCTACAGCACCTGGAGATTTTGGAGTGATCCCTGATGGGCAAAGTGTTTGGGATCCTGGGGACAACGTACCAAGCAGTCCTGGCTGCACCTCAGCCTTTGCCAGGCGAGCATGTTGAAGAGAAGCAGGAGGACAGCAACGTGAAGAGGAAGAGAGAACTTGGCAGACCCCTCGATGCCTGGGACCACCCTCATGGTTTTTACTCCCTCCTTGTTTCTCTCATTTTGAACTCTTAGTTCACCTACTATGCTCTGAAACAATATGCTTTGTACCAGGCAAAGTATATTAAGCAATGGCTCTTAATCTTATTTCCACCATTTCTGCCTCTGTAACTCACTCCCTCACTCATTGGTGTGGTGTCTGAACGAACTCAGAGCTGACCCTCCAGGGGACTCTCTGAGACTGTAAACCACACAGGAGGAGATTGTCTAACTCTCTCCCTCGTAGAAGCTGGTGGATTTGAACCACCAGAACTTTTGGGTTAGCAGCACAACCTCCTAGGGACCATGCCACCTGTGCTTTCTTCTGAAATCTGTAAAATGGGATAAGAATAGCCTTACTATTTGGGTCATTGAGAAGATTAAATAATCTGTGGAAACTACCCTAAACCATACAGTATGGCAGCAGCAGTGCTGATCTTTGCTCTTACATCTGTGCTGTGAGCACCTAGTCCAACCATCACAGGAGCAGAAATCTTGGCTCACCTGCTCTGCTAGGAGCTTTCTTTTCTTAATTCCTTTCCCACTGATTCCCTAAGAGTAGTAGTGTTCTTCTCTCTTCAGAGACCTGTTAGGTCTGCTGAGCTCAAGACTGGGTAGGGAAGAAGTAGATTGGTCAGAGAAATGTTATACTTTGGTTTTCTTGACCCTTATAACTCTCTCCTGGCTTCCAGCCTCACTGGAGTAGTTGCAATTAGCTGGATTTTCGCCAGCTCTTTCTTCTTATTTTTTCCATTTCTATAAAGTCCTTGGATAATGAAGTCTCTGGTTAAGAGCTCAGCTGCTAACCAAAAGGTTGGAAGTTTGAATTTACCCAGGAGTGCCTTGCAAGAAGGGCTTGGCAATCTTTCTTTAAGAAGGAAACTATTGAAAATTCTATGGAGCACAGTTCTTTGTGGGATTGAATTAGAATTAGAATTGTCATGAATTGTTAATATGATGAACCTAGGCAGGGGCCGATGCAGACTAGCATGGGGAGTGGGTCTTATACAGGTTCAATCCTGTAAGAAACAATCTGAGTAGGATGAACCCCTATTTCTGCTGCTTACGTTTCTGTAATATTTCTTTTTCTTTGCTCTTACAGTTGCTGTACTACTCATTTATCAGTTGACAATACACCTTTTTGTGATCACTCTCCTAATGGACTAGTGAGACTTTTACTGTCATTGACCTTTTTCTAGCTTGTTTACAAATTCCTTGAAGGAGTTTTTTGTCCTCCAACAATACTTTATGAGGTTTTATGTCTTTAGTAGGTTTTAAATAAGCATTAAATTATTTTTTTTAAATCCCTGCCCTTGGTAAATTTTCTCTTCCTTCTTTAGGCTTGGTTGGTTTACATAACCTTGGACAGACCTGCTGCCTTAACTCCCTGATCCAACTATTCAAAATGAATGTGGACTTCACCAAGATACTGAAGAGGTAGGATTATTTTTCAGGCTAATAAATGTACATTTCCTTATATTTTTCAAACATTAAGCTTTTTACAGTGACTTGGACTTTAAACTTTTAGAAGTGTTCTTTGAAAAGCTTCTGGGGGCAGAGGGAATCTTGTGTTTTGACTATACATTAGAATCACCTACGAAGTCTTAGAAAACCCATTTTTATCAGTTGTCTGGATAGACCTCAGGCACTAAAGCTTTTAGGAATCTTCCTGCTCCCTCAAGTGTTTTAAAGTGTAGCCAGGATTGACACTAGTGCTTTTGGGTCAAGTTGTTGGGAGATACAAAGAGTTAATGGACTGTGTTGCTAACCAAAAACCTGGAGGTTCACATTCATCCAGAGGCACCTTGGAAGCAAGGTCTGATGATCTACTTCCAAAATATAAGCCATCGAAAGCCTTCTGGAGCACAGATCTACTCTGACTCTCACAAAGCCACCATGAATTGGAAATGACTTGTTGCCACTGGATTTGCTTAGAAGGGAGTTGGGACTAGGTGACTGTCAGAGAAAGTGTAAGTCAGTAGATAGGTTTATGAGTCTCTCTGTTAATTTTTCTTACACACACATACACACTTCCATCTCCTTTTTTCTTTTTTTGCCTTATTCTCTTTCTTTCCCCCGATTTTATTGGCATGAAACATTGAGAGATGCCTATAAGTCCATTCATCACTCAGTTCTGATTCGTAACAATCCTCCATTTGGTTTCTGTGGAGTTTATCTTCCAGTATGGCTTTCCTAGCCCCTGAACTTGACTCTGCCATGTGGAAGGGGCAGGGAATGGGATAATGTGTGAATAGGACATGTTAGCCTATCCACAAGGGGATTTACTATCTCATCTTTCCACAAAAGGATTGGCCAGTCTCACCAATCTACAAGAGGATTGGCTATTCTCAACAATAAATTGATCAGCTCCAGCAGCAGATTAGAATTTCCCCACTAGAGAAGCAGCAGCAAGAGGATGTAGTATGTCCTTCAGGCCCAGAAATTCTTTCCCCAGCTACACCAGCAGCCATAGACAAGGCAGAGGACCAAAGAGGTCTGACATGTGATAGAGCTGACTGTTACCCCACCACACAGAGAACCAGAGCTAAGCTAAACACCTGGGCCCAAGTTTGTTGGAAAACTTGGCAAGGGGGCTGACGGAGAGCCACTATTGGCAGGACTGAGAACTTTGTAACACTAGTCTTAAAGCCGTGAGGCTCAGGGCTGAGGTGCCTGCAAGCACATTTTGGAAACTGTCCTGATTGAATTCTGCTATTAACCTGAATAACTGTTAACTTTCCCAGTACGGTTCTGTGTGGTCTGTGAGGTACTGCATCAGATTTTGGACCCAGGAAAGCAGTACGATTGGTGTTGAGATGAGTATAAAAAGGTCCTCCAGAAGTGTGAGAGACATGTCTGAACTCATGGGAATGGGTCTTATTGTTGCTGATGCTGTTGATGGGGACAGTTATCCTTTGTGAAGTTGGTAAAGGTAAGATATGGGTGTCCTCATGCAGCCCTTGCTCTTTTTACAGTTGATGTCAGAAGTGATATTCAACGTGATGGCTCCAAACTCATGGGAATGTAGGATTTTGTAAAAAGTTATGAGTTTGGGAAGTGCAGTTAAAATGACTAGTTTTGCTGTGACTAAAATGGAGGGAAAAGTTAAGCTACTTTTGGCTTAAGGCCATATGCATATGAATGAGATAAGTTAAGAGTGGAGAATGAAGTTGAAACTCTTAATTCCTTGAAAGGTTTATGTGTTAAGGTTTTTGTTTATTTAACTTTATGAATATTGATTGCTGTTTCTGGGGTTTTTTGGTTAATATATTAATGCTAAGATATATTGTATGGTTAAAATTTTTGTTGATTTAATGTTAAGATGTTTGATATAAATGATTACTAGGTAGTGTAAATTTTGAAATTGTGCAAGTCTGCCCTGAGGCTGATTTGATATACTCAAAAGGGGAAGAGAAATGCTCATTGAAAGCAGTAAAATTTGAGGGCAAGGGGCTTATCCTGGGGGAGGATTAAGTTCCACCCAGTACTCTGAGGAGATTTGCATTGAGATTTAGTTCATTACAACCCTCCTTTGGGTTTCCTAAGCTGTAAATCTTTACAGAAGCCTGCTAAGCTTTATTTCTGGGAGTGGCAGATGGATTTGAACTGCTGACCTTTTGGTTAACAGTACAATTATTACCACTATAGTTATGAACTGCTAAGAAAAAGAATAGCTTCCACCTAGAGAGGGTTAAACCAGGCTGGTCCTTGGAGGCAAGGATTCTGAAGCTTCATCTGACATACTTTGGACATGTTGCAAGGAGGGACCAATCCTTGGAGAAGGACGTCGTGCTTGGGAGGGTGGAGGGACAGTGCAGGAGAAGGCCCTCGATGAGGTGGATTGATTCAGTGACTGGGGTAGTCGGGATAGGTGTGTGGGAGATGGTGAGATTGCCATAAGATAGAGCAGGGGTTTAGGGCTCTTGTACATAGAGTCGCTATGAGTTGCAGGTGACTCAATGGCACATAACAACAACAGCAGCAGCAACAACAACACAGTTACAAATTACTGCAAAAATAATCTGCTCATGCAATCTTTTTTTTTTCCATGCAATCTTTTTAGCTAAGTGTTTGTCTTTCAGTTTGAAAGACAGTTTTGAAAATGTTTTAAGTTGGACATTTTTCATTGTGACCACTATGTATGTAGTCCCAGGACCTGGTACATGTCTCCTTGATTCTAGTATGATTACTAGGAAGGCTGGGGTGGGGAAGGGCAGCAGTTGTCATGGTCTTCCTCTCCACCAGGAACTCTGTGCAGCCAGCTCCCTAACTCAGTGGTTCTCCACTTAGGGTATAATTGAAATCATCTGGGGAGCATAAACATTCTGATTAACTAGGATCTGCCTTCAGAAATCCCCATTTTAATTCTTTGAGGAATGACCTTGACATGGGGATTTTTACCAGTAGCCCAAGAAACTGCAATGGGCACTAATGTTGAGAACCATGGGTATAAGAAGTTTCTAAACGGATTTTATTTATTTACTTTTTCACTGTGCCAAAACGGTATCTAACAAAACACTTGGCTTTTTTTTTTTCATCTTAGAAGTTGGGGGACATTAATTCCATTCATCATGTTGTACAGTCGTCCTTGCTGTTTCTAGATTTTCCCATCAATCTTTACAGAAGCAACTCAGTGACTAAGCAATGACTCCCTTTTCATCCCTCCTTCCCACTTTTTAATCCCACTCCTGTGGAGTAGATTTTGATTCAAAATGACCCTCCATTGGGTTTCTGAGACTGTAAATCCTAAGAGGAGGAGATTTCCCATCTTTCTCCTATGGATCAGCTGGTGAATATGAACAGAAGACCTTTCAGTTAGCAATGCAACATGCAAGTATTGTCATCCTGATAACCACTAATGCCTGGCTGTTCTAATTTGTCAGGGTATCAGTGCCCGGGGACAAGGAAGAGCAGAAGAGAAGTGTCCCATTTCAGTTGCTCTTGCTGCTGGAGAAGATGCAGGACAGCCGTTGGGAGGCAGTGTGTCCCCTGGATCTGGTCTACTGCCTTCAGAAATGCAGAGTGCCCTGTAAGACTGACCTCCTGTTCTTGGGTGGGGGGGGGGGAGCTTGAGTAGGAGCACTAGGCACCAAATGAACAAGAAAGACCTTTGTGAAGAGCAGAAAAAATTTTGAAAGCGCAGAATGGATGCTACTTATGCACATACAACTCACCAAAGCAAATCCACTGCCCCCTGGCAACCAGTAGATAGTGTAGAACTGTCCCACATGGTTTTCAAGCCTGTAAATCTCAAAGGAGTAGACTGCCACATCTTTCTCCCAAGGAACAGTTGGTAGGCTGCATTAGCAGCCAAGCCCATTAACTGCTCTACCCCCAGGCCTCTTACTACTCTCATTCTCACTTTTATTCAACTTTTCAGTAGATCTAATAAGCAGGAGAGTTTTTTGAAAGTGATTCAGCCCCAGGTAAATAGAAAAAGAATTAAAGAAATAGAATGGAGAAAGCATGTTGTAAAAAAAAAAAAATCATAAATAGGTTAATTAAAAAAATCCTTTGAAATATAATTTATATACAATAGGATTATTGAATCCATTTAAAAGAAATCAGACCGAGGATTTTAGTATCTTCACAAAATGAGCCCCAGTCTCATTTGAACATATTTTTATCATCCCCAAAAGAAATTTCATCTCTATTAACAGTAACTTAACATTATTTTTCTTTCTTTTTTTTACTTTCTTTTAGATTTTGCAGTTTTGGTTTTTACCTTGAGGTCTGTGACCATTGTGAGTTAATTTTTGCATATGGTGTGAGGTAGGAATCCAGCCTCAGTCATTCTTTTACGTGTGAACATCATTTGTCCAGCACAATTTGCTGGGAAGACCTTTCTTTGTCCTGTGAATTGAGCCCATTGCTACAGCCATTGTGTTAATCCGTCTAGCTAGTGGTCATCCTCTCTTTTGCTGACCCAGCACCTTTCCAAGAATGATGTTCTTCTCTAAGGAATAGCCTCTCCTAGCAACATGATCAAAATATGTGAAGTGAAGATTTGTTATCTGTGTCTCCAAGTAGCACTCTGGCTGCATTTTCTCCAAGACCTTTCTGTTTGGCCTTTTGGGAGTTCATGGGATATTCAGTACTCTTCTCCAGCATCACAGCTCAAAGACATCAGTTATTCTTATGTCATTCTTACTCATTATCTAGCTTTCAGGTACATAGCAAATAATTGAAAAGACCATGGCCTGAATCAGGTGCACCTTAGTTTTCAAACTGACATCATTGCTCCTCAACAATTGCAAGAGGCCCTGACAGTAGATTTTCCTGGTGTAATACATATCCTGATCTCCTGCCTGCTGGTACCAAATGTGTTGCTTGTGGATCCAAGTAAGATGAAAGAGTTGACAATTTCAATCTTTTACCCATCCATCATGATGCAGCTTATTGGTTCAGTGGTAAGGGTTTTGAGTCTTCTTGATGTTGAGATGCAGTACTTATGGAAGGCTGTATCTTTTGATGCAGCGAGCATTTCAAGTCCTCCTCACTTTTCAGCAAGCAAAGTTGTGTCATCTGCATAACACAGGTTACTGATTACATACCAATCCTAATCCCACATTCTTCTTCATAGAGTCCAGCTTCTCCAATCATTTGCTCAACATACAGATTGAATAGGAATGGAGAAAGGATACAACACCAACTCATACTTTTTTTGATTTTTGACTGTGCAGTGTTCCCTTGCTCAATTTGTACAACAGATTCTTTGTCTAGGTATAGATTTCGTATGCACATATTTAAGTGTTCTGGGATTCTCATTCTTCTGAATGTTAGTCATAGTCTGTTGTGATCCACACAGTCAAATGCCTTTGCATAGTCAATAAAACAAGTAGGCATTCTTCTAATATTCTCCATTATCAGCCAGAATCCATCTGACATCAGCAGTGTTGCCCCTGACACCATGGCCTCTTCTAAACTAAGCGTGAACTTTTGGAAATTCTGTGTCAATGTAATGTTCTATGTGTTTTTGGATGATTTTCAGCACTATTTTGCTTGCATGTGACATTAATGACATTATTTGATAATATCTAACTTCTGTTGGATCACCTTTCTTGGGAATAGGAACAAATAAGAATCTTTTCCAATAAGCTGGCCAAGTAGCTTTTCTCAAAGTTTCCTGGCATAGACTGACAAGCGTATCTAGGGCTGTATCTGTTAGTTGAAACATGTCATTTTTGATGCCTTATTTTTTTGCTAATGCATTAATTGCAGCTTGAGCTTCTTCCTTCCTTACCATTGGCTTTTTTTATATGATACCTCCTGAAATTTTTCAATGTCAACCAATTATTTTTGATATAAGACTCTGTATTCTTTCCATCTTCTTTTGATGCCTCCTGGATAATTCAAGGCTTTGCTTCTAGCATCTCTAAAGTATTAAAACATGAGGCTTGAATTTGTTTTCAGAAATGCTAAGTGTTCTTCCCTTTTTAATATCCAGCTTCAGCTCTTTGCACATTCTGTTACAATACTTGGCCTTGTTTCTTGAGCTGTCCTTTGGATTTTTCTGTTCATCCCTTTTACTTCTGTGTCTCTCCCTTTTGTTTTGATTTCTTGACACTTTTGTGCAATTTTCAGAGTCTTCTTGAATCTGTTTTGGTGTTTTCTTCCTCTACTGTCTTTGTAACAAAATTTTTCTCTTTTTGTGGATTATATCTCTGATACCATCCCATAACTCATCTCCTTTGATCATTAGTATTCAATGCCTCAAACCTATTCCAGAGATAATTTTTAAATGCAGTTGAGTTAAGACTCTAGGTTGAATTTTGGTTCTTACGAAATTGTTTTCATTTTCTTCAGCTTCATGTCCTGGCACATGAGTAATGTGATGAGTAGTGATGGTCTGTTCCTGGCCTGGTTTTGACTGCTGATACTGAGCTACCATTCTTTCCTCATTGTTTTCAACTTTTGCACTTCAGAAACCCATAATTGTTAATACATCTTGAGTGCATGTTTGGTCAGTTTTGGACTGCAGAAGTTGGTATAAATCCTCAATCTTTGGCTTTAGTTGTTGGTGTATATATTTGAATAATAGTTGTATTAATAGGTCTTCCTTGTATGCATATGGATAGTATCATATCACTATACCATTTTACTTAGGATAGATCTTGAAATTGTCTTTTTCCACTATGAATGTAACTTATTTCTTCTTCAGTTTTTCATTCTCTGCATAATATATCATATAATTGTTTGATTCTAAGTGGCCCATGCTAGTTAATCTGTTCATTAATGCCTAGAATATTGATCTTCATGTATTCCAGTTCATTTGACATCTTCTACTTTTCCTACTTTTATACTTTGTACATTACATGTTCCATTGCTAAAGTATGCTTGTAGCTGTTTCTTCTAATTTTGAGTAACTTCTAAGCTCTACTTTTTATACTGTATTCCTCTATTGCTTTTTTTTTAACTTTTGAAGTTTTTTTTATTTTTCATTTCAGTAAAGGTTTACAAACCATATTCGTTGTTCAAACATCATAGACATATTTTCTTATACTATGGATTACCATTAATGAACTTGATTATAGTGTATAATCATCCCTTTATTTTATGTTGTCTTTCCAATCACTCAACTTATCTATTAATTTTTGCTTCTCTCTCCCTCAGTCCCTCTCTTTGTAAAATTTTCTTTAACTTTCTGTTATTCTTTCTTTTCTTTTAAAAAATTTTCTACTAGTTTATTTACAAAATTTGCATACCTTGTTTTCAAGAACAAATTCTTTCAATTTCCCTCAACCCCCACCCATCAAATTGTACAACCCCATGATAATCAGCTCTCCCTCTCCCTACACATCCTCATCCCTCTGCTTCCACCTTTTCTGACCCCTCTTAGATCCTTATACTCATGCTATAATAATGGTTTTCTATAATGTTTATCCTTCTGGGACTGAGTTAATTCACTCAGCATAATGCTCTCCAGTCCCTCAGTATTGCTCCTACATGCTGCATAGTATTCCGTTGTGTGAATATACCATAATGTCTTTTTTTAAATGAAAATAAGCTTTATTACCTCAAGTAATAAGTATACACAAAGATGCCAACACTGTAGGTCTTTTTCTTCTCCCAGTGGTCTGTGATCAACACTAATACACAACTGAAATTGCCAAGACTGTCATTGTGTGAAAATTTTGGAGGGTTGAGGAGGCCTTTGATGCATTTGGTCAGATGTTCTTTGTATTTATAACTTGTGCTACAAAGTAATTAGCAATGCACAATCATTCCCCAATACAATGAACTGAAAAATAGTTTATGTGTCTCTGAAAGTAAATAATAAAGACAAGAAGCCCTGCCAATATCGTGGCACAGGACAGTCTTCTCTGGCCCCAGCTGAGCCTGATGGTGATGTGGTAGGATAGGATCCTGAATGTGGGTTTTAGGTAACATATATGTATATTTATAAAACACACACATATACACATAAATATAAAACATTTGTAGACTGCATGCCTCAATGCACCTCTTCATAGCCAGCATCATCTGTCACTGAGATGATTCTTTTCTCTCTTTTTCACTCAGACAACCTTGTGGAAAACGCAGGCTAGATGTCAGCATTGGGGAACTGCTAATTTTTTTGGAAAGGGGTGAATAAATACATAAAGGACAGATATTTAAGTGGCCAATTAGGGCCACAATTAGAGGATTGACTTAGGTTAGATATAGAAGAAATCTAATATTGACTATGGGTGCTTTAAAAATGAGCTCGCCATCCACCCCAAATGAGACCAACAGGATTGGGTGGTAAATGAAGAGGGAAGGTACTTATGTTAAGCAGTTAGAAGATACATAGTACTGGAGCTCAGATTTTAAGAATTTTTTTAAAAATAACAACTTTCTTTTTCCACTTATTACACTCTTAATGTACTTATAGTAGAAACAGAGCCCTTATAGGAAGTAGAAATCCAAAGTGAGTGTTTCTTTGCATCTGGGCAGCTAGGGCACAGGAATGTGAGCAGTGTGTTTGGGGGTCTCACTAACTCTGGGATGACTTTTCTTTTTTTGATAGTTTTCATCCAGCATGATGCTGCTCAGCTTTACCTGACATTCTGGAACCTGATTAAAGACCAGCTTACTGACCCTGACCTGGTAAGAGCCCAGAACTAGAGAGCTCCCAAGTGTAAGATACTCACTTAACTCATATAATATTGGCGAGAGGAGCTCTGCTGGTGTAATCTGTAGGGAGTTGTGTTATTAACCCAAAGGCCATGCCTCTCTGATGGTTCCAGTCTACTAGCATCTCCTTGGGAGAAAAACAGGCCATTTCCTGTGCAATTTACAATCTTAGAAACCCAGTGGAGTGAGAGGAGAGGACAAAACCCCAAACCAGACAAAACAAAAGTTAAAAGAAATTTAAAAAAATGAGCTTTTTACAAAATAGATGATAGATAGATAGATACTAGGTTATTACTAGGAAAGGGACATCATGTTTGCAAAGGTGAAAATGTTTGGATGGTCAAAGAGGAAGATCCTAAACTAGGTAGACTGACACAATGACTGCAGCAAAGGGTTTGAGTGTGTTAGAGATTGTGAGGATGGCACAGGATAGGACAGAATTCAGATCTATTGTTCATAGGGTTGCTATGAGTCGTACTTGACTCAATAGCACCTAAGAACAATAACAACAACAAAAACATACATATTAAAAGGGGCTTTATGGTGAGTCTGGGGCCTGGTGGCAGGAAGCTGTACTGAAATCCCAAAGGCTTCTCTGCATGAAAAGGATGGACAATCTCCTCCCATGCTATTATTGCCTCTGAACACCTGCTGGAGGGTCAGCTATAGGTCGGTTCCAACTCTATGGTACACAACAACAGCAACAACAACAACAATGACTTAGTTGTGAGTAATTGATCTGCTAGCATAATGGTATACAGTTTGAATCTACTAGCTGCTCCTTGGGAGAATGCTGTGCAGTCCCCTTCCATGCTTCTAAAAGCCTGCTGGAGAGTCAGGTCAGCTCTGTGTCAGTTCTGACTTGATAAATACAACGGTGTGTGTGTGTGTGTGTGTGTATAGTACTTATATATGTATGTGTATATATGTGTATGTGCATATATAACATATATACATACACATACATTAAAAAAGATGTGAAGACAATTCTCAAGCACTTAACAGAAAATAAGAAAAACTATAGCTTTCAGTATGAATGATACCTCAACATCATAAAAACAAAAATCCTCACACTTGGATCAAAAGGCAACATTATAATAAATGCAGAACAGAACGAAGTTGGGAAAGGTTTCATTTCAATTGGACCTATAATCAACACCCAGGGAAGCAACACTAAAGAAATCAAAAGATGTACAGCATTGGGCAAACCTTCTATTAAAGACTTTTAAAAAATGTTAAAGAATAAAGATGTCAGTTCATAGAGTAAGGTGTGCTTGACTCAAGACATGGTATTTTCAGTTGCTTTCTATGCTTATGAAACTTGTGGTGTTAGTAAAGAGTATCATACTGTGTGGATTGCCAAAAGAACAGAGAAATCTATTTTGGAAGAAGTACAACCAGAATTTCTCTTAAAGCCAAGACTTCATCTCACTTACTTTGAGCATATTATCTAGAAGGATTAGTTGCTCAAAAAGGACATCATTTTTGGAAAGGTGGAGGGTCAGAGAAGGAGAGGAAGACCTTGAATGAGGTAGATTGGCATAGGGACTGCAACGATGGGTTTGAACACTGTAGACTGGACAATGGCTCAAGGTCAGTGCAAAGCTCTATCTCTATCTGTTGTACATAGGTCTTTATGCGTTGAAGTTGAGTTGGTGGCACCTAATGACAATATAATGTTGTTTTGTGACCTTTTGCAACACTGTATCATGGATAATTATCCATATAAATAAAATTGTGTTTACTCTATCAGTTTTAATAGTATGCTATTGTATAGATTAGCTTTAGCTTTTCAAAACTCAAACTAGGATTCATAGCTGAACCTCCATTTGGGTTTCTGAGGCTGTAAATTGTATGCAGTGAGATTGCCCATCTTTCTCCGACAAAAGCTGTTAGTGCATTTGAACCACTGGGGAGGTACAACCTCTGGATTAATAGTACAGCTCCCTTCTAGGACACCTGAACCCCTTTTAAACTTTCAAAAACTAATCCTTAGTTATAGACATACACGTTGTTTCCACTGTGTGTTAGATAATGGAGAAGTGATCATCTTTCATGACAAAAAAAAGAGGAAACCTAATGTAACTATGAATTGGTTTTGACTTAATGGCAATGAGTTGAGTTCGGTTGAGTATGTTACAGAATAAAAGAGATAAACCATATAAAATATTTACCATAGTTCTCTAATATGATTACTGTTCCTGTTTTCCACCTTTGTATTAGGCAAGGATCACAGTGGCTGTCTTTTCAGGAGCCTCTGGGTGGTGGCTCCAGCTTCTGGAAACTGGCTGGGCCTGGTTCATGGTGTGGCAGCTGTCTTACCTCTCCTTCCTCCCTCTTACAGGTGGACAGGCTGCAGGCCTTGTACACTATCCGGATGAAAGAGTCCTTGGTTTGCCTTGACTGTTCGGTGGAGAGTAGCAGAAACAGCACAATGCTGACCCTGCCCCTTTCTCTTTTTGATATAGACTCAAAGCCCCTGACAACACTGGTATGAAGTTTCACTTGGTGAATTTGCTATCTTATACAGTCTGTTGTGGCCTATGTCCACTTGCTTCTTTTAATCACCCTTGACTTTTTAAAAAGGCCTCTTGGCTTTTAAAATATTTTATACTCGACTGATAACCTAAAGATTGGCTATTCAAACCTCCTAATGCTGCCATGGAAGAAAGGCTTGGTTGGAGGTGTGCCCTATGGAGTGGTTCTGTTAGGGGTCCTATGAGCTGGAATAGGCTTGACAGCAGTGAGTTTGGCTATTTTTAACTTTAAAAAAAATCATTCCTGTTTCATTTGCTTTGGCCAGTTTCTCCTTTAATCTGGAAAAAAATGTGTATGCCTATATATATGTATTAATACATATTTATGAT